CAAGTTTTGATGGTTGCTGTCTGTCCAAGATGTTTGCTGATACCACTAAAGAGGAGGTCCTCGAAGTGGTTGGTTCTGATGCTGTGAATGAAATCTTATCGGGTTATATAGAAGAAGGAGTGGTTTTGAGACCATTTGGCTCTAAGAGTGCTGAAGTTTGTTACAAGATAAAGCAAGAGGGAAGATCTAAGCCTTTTGTCGTGCTGAAGATTGATGGATTCACCAGGAGTGTCAAGTGAAGCAAGATCACACCAAGGAGTTTCAAGACTCCTGCTCCTTACCACAACAAAGGAGAAGAGGAAAGTCAAGCTAAGTTACTCTAAACAAGCACACTTGGGAGGCAATCCCATGGTGTCCTTGTATATAGCTTTACATTTTTATGTTTTTAATGTTTATATAGCTGCTTTTTAGTGTCTCTAGTAACCAGGTTCAAGCTGAGGCTGAAAGAACCAAGCTTGGGAGAAGGAAGAAGTCGAAGAAGGGTCAATATCGACTAGCATATCGGCCATGCACGTCAATAAAGCTCATATTGAGCAAGTGTATCGAGCATATCTTGCTCGATACAAGTATATTAGACTTGTATAGACGTGCGTATTGGGGTGATCCTGATCGATACACATGAGAGGATTAAGTATCGATCAGAGTACCGATCGAAGGCAAACTGATACACCTTCAATGGCAATGTATCGGGTAATACACAGATCGATATGCCTCAACTGGTACCGATATCGATCACTTGTATCGATGTACCAGGTCGATACAACACCAAGAAGTGCATATCGAGCACAGTATCGAGGTAACACACCGATATGCCTTAACTGAGAGGATGAAAAGACGATTAATACCCCTTTTTAAGGCATATCGGGGTGAATATCGACATCTCATGTCGATACACCTTAGGGGACAAATGAAAACATGCTGTTTAGCATAAGTCAAGGTGTATCGATGTGAATATCGACATGTTAGTCCGATATGGAGTTTTACCAAATCATATCAAGCTATTATCTAGACGATGGGATATTTAGCTCGATATTGGACAGCCAAGTATGATCATCGGACTACATATCGTACGTCGATACAGAAGGTGCCAAGCAATATCGACGTGCATACAGGTTGATATCACGACCCAGACATCCGATATCGGCATGCATATCGACCGGACCAAGTCGATATGACCAATATCTATCACAATATCGACTTGGTTAGTCGATATTGCACCCGAGGTAAGTACTCTTCATTTTTAATTTTTTTCCTCCTTGGTCAAACTAGATCAAGGAGTTCAAATTTGAATCCTTTCCCTTCCAAACATGAGTGGGACCTCTCTTAGGCACACTTTGTCCTCTTGCTCCCGATAAAAAGATTCCCCCAACCCTCTATTTAAACACACTCACCCTTCTCTCTCTCACTTTTATTTTCTTGTTCACAACCACAAAAATTTCAAAATCTTTAGTGTTCTAAGTGTTCTAAAAAGCCAAACCACTCAAGGTAATGTCTCTCAGCTAATTAAATATTTCTAATTTGCCTTAGGCACTTAAGAACTTAATTATATCTTGTGGTTGCTTGCTTGATTTGTGAGTAATGCTTCTTATTTCTTTTATTTCTTTTGCATGGTGAATAGATTGTTCTTGGCCTTTGAAGCATTTAGACCACTAAATACTTTCTTGTCGAATTCATTTATTTAGCTTTGCATTAGCATTTTAGTACATTTTTTTAGTTTCACCATGCTAGGACTCATGATTTTCAATTAAATGATATATTTTGTTTAATGAGTCCTTTGCATGCATAGCTTATTTCTTTGCTTCACAACTGATAGAGGTTTACTTTTCAGTAAATAAACTCCTCTTTTTGTGATTTCTAGCAACATTAAGCTTTGTGTTTTGTTGTTTCCATGGTTCTGATATTTCTTTTGAGAATATGTTTTACGTACCATGGGAACAACAACAAGGAGTGAAGCAAAAAAAGAGGCTGAGCGGCAAGAGAAAGGAAAGGGAAAAGAAAAAGAATTTGGGAGTCCAAGCGCCAAATCTTAAGGCAAAAAGAGAGCTGATGTTGGCACTAGTGAGCAAGTCCTTCAAAAGAAGAAAGGCACCACTCCAGCTCAAAGGCAGTAGTATGACAAGCTACAAATGGTGGATGTGAGGCCAACTAGATACCCCCATGTGCCATCTCTAAAGGCCTTGGGACTCTATGAAGACTGCTCTTCTATGCTTGAGAAAATGGAGCTCACAAAGTTGGTGGGAACTCCATATTCAACCAACAAAGACCAAGTGCTTCAATTCTTCGCAAGCTTTGAAGTGACATTCTATGAGCCAGGAGAGGAGACTCCTGAAGAAGATGGTGATGGCTTCATCACTTTCAGATTTTCCAAGAAGAACTATAGGATCTCTTTCACAGCTATAGAAGATGCCTTTGGATTCTCTTATGGAAGTGCTAGAGGACAGAATCTAGGGGTTAGCAAAGAAGAGATAAGCAGCCTTTGGGAGCATGTAGCCAAGGGCGCTTTCAAGCCAGGAAGAAGCAAGGCTTCTCTGATCAGAAATCCAACCATCAGAGATGTGCAGAAGGCGCTGGCGCATATACTCTATGCTAGGAAGGAAAGTGGAGCTGTTGAAGGAGGAGAATGGGAGCTGATTGATCAAGAATAAGCGTTTTAGACAGCACAAGGCAAGGTGTTGAGCTTAGGGGAGCAGATGGTACAACTGGAATGGTCACCATCTTCACGCAGCAACTTTTGGTCATCAAACATTGGTTAACCACCACTGATTACAAGGCGCCAAAGCCGTATTGTGCTGGCCTTATTACACAACTGATGGAAGCTGCAGGAGTTTAGAGTGGATCACATACTTGGACCTGCCATACCTGAAGAAAGGTAATAAGTTCATCTACAACTTCATCCAAGAAGATGGATCTGCTGCAAAGCTTCTACTCCCTGATGTGCATCTCACATCCTTCTCCAACCCCAACAGTTTTGCCTTTCAAATTCCACAGCACCTTCTCTACCAAGCTCGCGCTCCATGCTCTCACATTCACCAAGGCGCCAACATCCCTCTTTCTCAAGGAGTCTATCCCCTTGTGGTCTTTGAAGGAGAGCAAATGGAAGAAGGAATTCAGGAAGAAGAAGAATCAGATGCTCCAAGCTACAACAGTGAGGAGTACCACTTCCAGCCCCATAATGTCTCACACCAAGGAGGGCCCTTGAAGAAGGTCCATGAACACATCAACCTCTTGTAAAGATGGAACAAATGGCAAGACAAAACCATTAAGAAGTTGGTGAAGGGCATGAAGAGCATGAAAGCTCAAATCAAGGACTTAAAGAGGAAGTCTAGTGGAGCCTCTACTTCTGCTCATCAACAAGAGAAAGAAGCTGAAAGCCAAGGAGTGGCTAGAGCTCCTAGTAGAAGGCGCTCTTTTGCTGGTTATGAGGAAGTGAGAGCTTGGGTGCCACCAAGAGCATCATGTCAAAAAGCGCCAAGGAGGATTTAAATGTCTAAGTGGTTAAATGTTTGATGCATCATAAAAAGTTAGAAACTAAGACTGAACCATGCTCTTGAATGCTAAATTTGATCCTCTAGTCTCTTACTGAAATCGCTTGCTCTCTGAAAATCATCCTTATTTATTAGAACCATTAATTTGAATTGTTAATTATCATGTTCTTGCATTGAAAAGTGGTTTCATGGATTACCCATATACATATTTGGACTTTCTTTCTTCCTTTTTACCTCTCTTACTAGTCCAAATAGTTGATCCTCATCATTAAGGGACAGTTACCACACCTTAACCTTACTTTCCTTTCAAACCTAAACATTATCTTTGTGTGTGAGACCTATTTTTGAATGAACTAAGCATAAAGTGTTAGGTAGGCACGACAGGGTACAAGTTATTATGTAGAGCTAGCTCTTCACTTTGAGTTTGACATAGGTTTTGGATGGTAGTTATAGGTATGGGCGGATTTGAGTGTTAATTGATCTAAAAGGAGAGAGTGAGAGAAGAAAGAAAATAAAGGGAGGAAGGAATGAGAATGGGGAAGCAAGCAAAAGCTCAGCATGTGTGGAACCAAATAAGCTCAAAAAGGGTGGCCATTATGAAGATGTGGTCTCAGCAACAACAACAAAGAAGTCACCAAAGCCCAAATACATCAAAAGGATGAAGAAATGGACTCCTAAACACAAAGAAAATGCGCCCACAACAAAGGACCAAAAAGAAGGCTACAACATGGTGAGATCAAAGAAGAAGTTTCCCTGAAAATAGCAAAGTGTGGAGAGTGTGAGAGTGTCGAGAAAGGGTATTTAGGAATGGGTTTGATTTAGGGTAAGAGTTTTGGGGTTTAAAACATTCTTAGGCATTGGGTAGATAGTAATCTATCCTTGTATGCATAAGTTGTGCTTCACCTTTAGCATTATGCCTAAATTCATTCTTTTTTTAGAGAAACCCTTACATTTGAACCCACATTTTTTTTTAAGCAATCTAGTTTAAACCCTTCTATCCGAACTATCTGAACCCTGAACTATCCGACCCGACCCGAAAACCTGAACGCCCAAGACTAATAACAGTTGTAACTTTACATTTTTATTATAGAAATATGAAGTTTTTTTTTGCTGTAGTTGTAAATTTTATTTTTTTAAAATTTTAACGGTAAAATTATAAAATTCGAAACATAAATATATGTGCTTTAAAAAAAATGTTTTGTACAACTAAAACAATAAAATAAAAGAAAGACAAAATTTACAAATACAAAAAAATAAAAAAGTGAGCAAATAAAAAAAAAACAGTTTATAAAACATGATCAGTATAATTTAGAGTTTTAAACATAAATATTGCTGTGCACAGAATTCTACATCAACAACCAATCAAGCGCATAATAAAAGAAGTGTAGCTAGGTTATGTGGGTGAATTTATAGATGTTTGTTATCAGATATGTAATAACTCCGGAATGAGCACGTGTAAAAGTATCTTTACAAGATGAAGCAAGAGAGGCCATAGCCCATAGGCCTTATTAATCAAACTCTGCTTAGAGGAATCCTATAACTGTGTTGGTGACTAGTTTTACTCTTACTCCTGTCTACATGAGCTATCACTTGCGGCATTGTCATCCCCACCGATACTATAATCTCTGCAATACAAACAACACATTATACGAATGTGGCTAGGCATGTTCATGGGCCTAAATGAGATCGTTCTCATAAACCAAAAGCTGGTGAAGCATAACAAAATTAGACTGACCTATTCCTTCTCGGATCGATAAATTTGGCCTTATAATTTCGTCACTATTCACCAGAACTACATCTCCTATGTACAGATGATTTGTCGGCACATACACACTACACAACTCTTCTTCTCCTTGATCCATCTGTTACCAGGAAAATATGAAACTATCTAAATGCTGCTTTACTTTCCTCAAGTAATTTGCTCATTACCTGTTTTGTTGCTTAAATAGCTTTTTCCCCACTTACCTGAAGTGTCACCGACGATGTAATAAATCCAAATGCGTATTCACCAATACGAGGATGACGGATGATTGCTACCTCTTTAAACGCCGTTGTGTTTTGGTCTGAGAACAAATATTAAAGGTTACAAAAAAAGGCAGACTACACATACCAACATAAGGTTACTTGTTTATTCAAATCATTGTGTATAAAAAACCACATGAATATTGAATATATTTGTATACGGCCTTACCTGGAGAAATAGCAGTGCTAATTTGTTTAGAAGCTGAATATAGGTGCTTCACAAAGGGCATCCGCCTTATAAACTGCTCCCCAAGCCAGAAAACCGTAGAACCCAACCAGGACGAAGCAAATATTCCGACAAAGAAAGTAAAAAGTACAGATGTAATGAATCCAAGTCCTGCAACATATGAAAACGAATCAAAAGATAGATATAATTATCTGATACGTAAACTCTCGGAAATTACGGAAAACTTTCAAAGAATTAGACTCAATAATTAAGCAAAGAAATCTAGTATAATTGTAGAAGTACAACTAGCTTAAAGCTACAATACATAACACGCAGTAAGACCAAAATTCTGAATCCTTACCTTAGTACGAGCTTTTAACATCTAAAATATTCTCTGTTTTCCATCTTTATTTAAAAACATAAGAGAACCATCAAAATTTGTAAAATGACGAATGCAATACATCAGCTAAGCAGAATCATAAAATTAGCTTTTAGTCTTACCAAATATGTCAACACCAAGGCTCTCGTATATCGGACTGAAGAAACCATCAACGAACTGGATAAACCACCAAGTGATGAGGAAGGTAACGGCAACAGGAAAGAGGACGACACTACCACACACCCCAATATAAAAACACAGTTAGACTCAAAGAAGACAAGTATTTAGAAATTATATCATGAATATGGTAATAGAAAATTGGGGTAAGAGTGATTTTACATTCCAGTCATAAACTTCTTGGATAACCAACTCTGCAGAACAGCATAGCAAGCCTGTTCAAATGCAAAAATGAGAATACAAACAAAATTAGAAAATTCTTCAAGTAAACATCTCAATATTAATTGAATAAACACAAACAGATACAGTAATCAGCTTAACCTCCAGAGCTTAGGCTCACTTATACTGGTCAAATTTTAGCATTTTGAAATGTTACAAGGAATTTCACAATTGGTAGTTGTCTTTCACTAACCGCAACTATGCAAATTAAAAAATTCTTTTGAGCATCCATCTCGAAATAGATTGAATTAAACACAAACATATACAGTAGTTAGCTTAAGCTCCAGAGTTCAGGCTCCCTAAGAGGATCACGTATATTAATCATGTTTATCATTTGAAATGGTACAATGAATTTCACAATTCAGAGTGGTCTTTAACATCAAGACCCTAAAAATCTCTCAAGCTTCTGAGAACCCGAAACTCCCTTCATCAGCACAATTTTTTTTTCCAAAAAAAATCAATTTGATAGCGAGAATCAGTTGTTTATCCTTATCCCCCAATTATAGCGAACAAAGCTATAAGTTCGAAGTTGATTTATACGAATTCTTCTACCTTTCTCTAATTGAACCCAGAATTAGTAACGAGTAAGCACAGAAACTATCGATCACAGAACCATTTGATCAATAAATCGCCAATGTTTTCGGATTTGAAGTTTAACCTTGCGAGTAGAAGAATTTGGAGAGTTGGGAGGAGACTTGGGAGCATCTTCGGGGTATTGAGGAGTGAGTCCTTGACTGAGCGAACTCGTCGTAGCTTCTTTGTCTTCCGCCATCTCTGCACACGAGCCGGTTGAAGTTGGTCACGTCTAGTGAAAGGACGAATCCGAGTCGGAGTCGGACCAGATCTTCGATTTTCTTTTAGTCACCTTTGAGTAAGGAATACTTCTTTGATCATGATCCAACGATGTACATTGCAGCACGTCATCATGTGTGTAACAGAAAATAAATAAAAATCAACACCGTTTTCTACTGGGTTTTGGGGTTGACTTCACCAAACTAACAAACTCGGCTTCTACTGGTGACCAAGAGAATGAAGAGAATAATGAATTTTTCTTCGTTCTTTAAAATTTTTACCATTTGCTAGTAATAATATTTCTCTATCATTCCTTCTTATTCTTTGTCATATAAAGAATTATAGAACAAATATATTTCTTATTAAAATTGAGGAAGAATAAAATATATTTATTTAGTTCCTTACATATTTTTCATTCCTATTTATTTTTTTTCTTTTGTTCTTTTCATTTTTTTCCTTTTCATTTCTATTCCTTTTTTTATTAGTCACCAGTTAAAGCCTACATTTTCTTTTCGTTTGGCAGCAAACGTTTTGAGAAATCGTCTCATCTACCTTACTGATTGAACTGCAATGCTCCTCTTTTAATTTAAAAGATTTTTTTTAAAAAATTAATAAAAAATGGAAAATTATTGAAAACCAGACCAAATCTAATAAAATTATCATTTGTACTTAGGTCTAACCCGAGAAAATTCGGACTTAACAATAGATCGGGTTTGAGTCGGGTTTACCCGAAAATCACTCAAATATCTTCTAATTCTTTTCAAATATTTCAAAAATATCGAATCATCTCTCTCTCCACCGAACTGTCATCGAACTCATCTCGCTCTCGCAACCGTCATCTCAAATTCTCTCACTGAAACCGGAGAAGCAACCCTAGCGCGGCAGTAGAAAGAGGGAGAATCGACGGAGAAGAAACGATGCCGAGGACAAGAAAAATGCGTAAGGAGAACCCGAGCAGTCAGAAGCCGACAGCGAAGAAGCAAAAAATGCCTAAGGAGAACCCGAGCCCGAGTCAGAAGTCGGCGGCGAAGAAGCGTAAGACAACAAAATCGGGAACGACGTCTCGAACAACGAAGGAGATTCCGGGTGGAGAGGCTCCTCTGATTGTCGAAGCACAAACGACGGAGGGGGTTCCGGCTCGAGAGGCTCCTCCTCCTCCTCCGATTGTTGAAGCAGAAACGACGGAGGCGATTCCGGGTAGAGAGGCTCCTCCTCCGATTGTCGACGGAGGGTGTTGAGTTCTCGGAGGGGGTTCCGGCTCGAGAGGCTCCTCCTCCGATTGTTGAAGCGGAAACGACAGAGGCGGGTAACAAGACGGTCGAGTCAGAAGGAGAAGCCTCCGGAGATGAGTCAGAAGGAGAAGCCTCCAGAGTTGGTGATTCCGATGGCCGGAATCCTGTAAGTTAATTATCTCCTTCTCCAACTCTTTTGCATTTTGATCACAATTCTCAATTCTCAATTGTCGGAAATTGCAAAACTAGGATAATTAGGTAATACTAGCAAGTTGGTAAAACTAAGAAAACTGGGTAAAACTAGTACTATTTTGTAATATTCTCAGTTTGGTATTAATATTGTATGTATGTTGCAGTCTCCCTTTGAAGAGACGATGGCCATGCGACCAGACATGTACTTGAAGCCTGATCAGTATAGCAAGAGCATTAAACTACCAACACGGTGTTTCGTACAAGAAGTTATGGAGATGGGCCCGGATGATAGTGGAGATAGGCTCAGGATGGCGGTATATATTTCTTGAGCAGCATCATCTACTCTCCCACCAAAACCGGAGACAACGCGAAACCCGTGCTCAATGTATTCTTAAATACGCTAATGATTTGGATATGTGTAAGACATTTCCTTGGGGGAGATTTTCTTTTGATCGCATCTTAGAGTCCATTTCGGATACGATGAAGCACTTTGTTGAGAAGAGGTTGGGCAGTGCATGGTCGTTTCCTGGTTTTTGCATTCCTTTGGAGGTAAAAGATTGTCTCTTGCATTGTTTTCCTTTTCATTTTAAGATTGTCTATGGCATTTTTTTCCTTTTCATTTTAAGTTAAGTCTAATTATATGCGTATGTTTGTAGCTTTCGGCGATGGAGGCCATTATGCCACTGAGATAGAGCTTCCGAGTAGCTGTACCAAATCCTAACGTCGATTGTTTGAGGATGTGCAGGTCCAAGTTAAAGAAATGCGACCTGAGAGGCTGGCCACTTGAGACTGTGTATCAAAAGCTCGGATGCGAGAACAAGGTTAGTAGTCATTGCAGATTTGAAAAAAAACAATGAAACTTGTTAACATTGGTTGTTTAAATGTGTTTAACTTAACAGGACATTGACAGTGTGCTGATAGCTTCAGAGGAGGAAAATGCGATGTTGGATTTGATAATGGAAACAGAGAACGATGTTGATGAGCACGGTCCTGTTGTGGAAAGTTGGGAAAAACGTATTAATAATGGATTGACGGTTGTGTTTGAAGACATCAAGGAAGAAGATGTGAAAGGGCGAGAAAAAATGGTGGAGGAAAGAGCAAAGAAAAAACCCCGAGCTAAGAAAATATCTCTGGAGGATGTCGTTAGCGCGATGGAGACCATGACAGAGCAGTTGGGTTTGCTCAACAACATCGTCCATAAAATTGATGACAGGATAAAGCCACTTGAAGACTATGTGACAGCGAGAAAGGATTCAGGCTCTTGAACAAGAGAAATCGTCTACAATGTTTGTTTTTATATTTGGTAGAACTTTCTTTTGTTTTCGAACTAGTACTTTGTTTTTATTTGGAACTAGTACTTTGTTTTTATTTTCGATCTCGGATAAACTATGTTTTTAATTTGAATTATTGAATTCCTGTATTATTAGGTAAAACTAGTCGTAGTAAGTGTTGCTAGAAAAAGAAATACTAAAAAAAGTTAGTAATACTAGGTGATACTAAAAAAATACTAAGTAACATTAGTAATAGTAATTAAAATATCATTGATAACTTAAGAAAATACAAGCAAAATGGAAATATTAGTCTTGAACAACAATTAAAACAACAATTAAAGGAAATTGCAGATTCGTTAAGTCTTAAGCTTAGCTATCTCTTTGGCTTGGATCTGAATCTGTTTTTGCATTTCTTCAATCATCCTGCTCTGCTCTTCAACTTTCATAACTAGTTTCTCAATCTCTTGTTCGACTCCGAAAACCCATGGCTGACGAAAGTGGAGTTCATCATCTTAGCAAAAAAATAAAAAAAAGAGTAACATCCATTATAGTTATACCTAGTATTCCAAGATTTACACCCGAAGAACAACTAAATAGTTTAACCTAGTTTTACTAGTTTTACCCAGAAAAAAAATCCAGATCTGAAATTATAGAGATTATACCTTAAATTCGGTGCAGATGAAGTACCTACTGCCTGGTTGAGTATCGAAATCGTGTTTAAATTTTGGAGAAGGAGATACATCGTGCTTGATAGATCCACCACATGGGCATCTTCTCGGAATCCCATATTGGCCGTCAGCGACAAATCCAACCATGTTCCAATGCTGCTTCATCTTCTCCATTTCCTTGCGGCGCCTCTTCTCTTCCTTCAACTCCTCCTCGTATGGGTCGATGAGGAAATTGTCTGTGTAGTGATAGCTACAATCTGAATCCATTTGTATAGAGAGATGAGAGATCAATTTTAAGAGAGATAGAGAGATCGATTTTAAGAGAGAGAGGGAGATCGATTTTAAGAGACAGAGAGAGGTTCGAGAGTTTGTAATGAAACTCTGAATTTTAGATTAGTCGAAATTTTTTGAAAAGTACACTCTCCTGCGAATAAATTCAATTTCCCGCCGAAAAAATCAATTTCCCGCCGAAAAAATACACATAGTAATACCAGATTGTCACTTATACAGATCTTGAAATAGTATTAGATCACCTAAAACTTATATTACATCACCTAAAACTTATATTTTCTAGTATTACAGTTTAATTATATGGTTTTACATATGAATATCATTGTCCTATGCAACAATAAGTTTAAATATGGTATTTTTGTACCATTCACTTAACAAGTTGGTTCTTCATAAGAAAGTTTTTCTTAATGTATAAGGGAATGTTAAAGATCGATATTAGAACTCTGGTGCAACAATAAGTTTGAACTCATATTTTGTTAATTCTTAAGTTTGTATGACATATATGTTGTAGTTCTAACAAAATTAACTAAATTAGGTGATTAGTTTTGGTTTTTAAATAACAATACATAATTATTTTGAAAAGTCACCAATTATGCATAGTTATACCAGTATTACACAGAAATCATAACATAGTACTACGAAAGCGAAAACGAGTTACACGTAGCAAAAGCTTAAAACTTTTACATCATGCAAAGTCTTCTCCATATAGTAACCCTGCTAGTGTCCTTCCCCGCTTGAGTTTATTCTGTGTCCTTCCCCTTCAGCGCCTTTCTACCGTTGATGGAAATCATTTTTCTTTTGGACGACCCTTTTTCTTGACGCGATCTAGAGGTATTATCTCCTTCTCCATGATGTAATCCGGTACAATCCACGCAGACATATCGGGCACCACGTAGATCGATCTGCTATAAGCCAATATCTACATCTCCACGAAATAGTATTTCGAACACAAGTCATAATATTCTTTGCGGATATCACGCCTTCCATTATTCTTGAAGGAGATGAAAGCGGCTAATGCGTGGATACAAGGATACCTATGAATATCGAAGAACCTGCAACTGCAAGTTTTATTGGCCAAGTCCACCAAATAAAACTTTCCCTCTTCTGACATGACTTCATATTCAAGGTCACAACCGTTTACCTCCCTCACATCTAATTTCTCAGCTATAGGCCAATTGTCGTGCAAGAAGTTCTCAACCAAAGGAACCAGTTTCTGAGCACTCGTTCCTGCCACGGACTCGTTCCTATGCTGGTTAAACCAATCAGAAAACGTTCGAGCTATTGTATCAAGCATGGGTATTAAGGAGTACTTCCTCGCATCCCTAAAAGTTTTGTTTAGAGATTCCACGGAGTTGCTTGTGTCGAGGTTGTATCTAGCAACCGGAGAAACACATCTTGCCCACTTTTGTGGCACGGTGGTCTCCTCCACATACTTCGCCGCTGAAGGAATTCTCTGCTTAAACGCCTCATAAAGCATATTGAACTCAGCCACCGTATGAGCCTTGCCGCACTCTTGGAATTTTTTGGCGACAACGGCTCTGCTTGCGCTTGGAGCATGACCTTTCACGTTTTGAGCCAAATTCCATAAGCAAAACCAATGATGAGCTTGTCGATAGATGTTAGCTACGGCGTTGATGAGGCTGGTATTTCTGTCACTCACAAATACTAACTCCGAAGAGTCATCTACAACAGTTTTCAGCTTCTCGAAAAACCATCCCCAACTAGCATTGTTCTCGCCGTCGAGTACACCGAATGCTATGGGATAAATGTGACGATTTGGATCCTGAGCTGCATCGAAAACAAGTACACCACCAAATCCGGCCTTGAGAAAAGTTGCATCCACCACAATCACTTTCCTCATGAACTGAAACCCATCAATGGAAGCTCCCAAAGCTATGAATAAATACTTGAATTTTCCCACCATATCCAGTTCCACAGCTGTTTTCATACCCTCATTCAGCTCCTCTAACACGTACAAATAACGATACAACATCCTGTAGTTATCTTCCGGAGTACCACGTATATCAGAAATTTCCTGATTCTTCCCTCTCAAAGCCGTGGAGTATGATACCTCTACACCAACTTTCCTCTTCACAAGTGTCATGATTTTTCTACGAGTTGGAGTCTCGAGTTTCCCGGGATAATGCTCACTCACAATAGCTGCAACTAGTCGTACTGATCCTCTCCTCTTCATGCTGCCTTCTTCACTCTGATTAGCACGGTTACATGTGTGCATATTCCTGTAAGTTCTAATCGAAAAGCATCCGATTTTGCTATCTTTGCTGCTCGTACGTGCCACGTACAACTTCGTTGCACGCATTTTACCACCCATCGCTGAGTATCAAATTTTTTTGTAACATACCCGAAAGATTTAACAAATGCGCCTCTATGAACCACTTCTACAACAACATTCTTACTAAGAAATTCTTGATCAATACTCAGATCTAAACTGTCTTCCCATGGCTCTAAACTCTGACTACATTCAACAACAGGTGGTGCCTCAACATAATAATCACGTATATCCAATGATTCCACACCGCTACCCCCACCATCATCGTCGTCATCATCATCATCATCATCATCATTATAATCATAATCATCATCCTCTTCTTCTTCTTCTTCTTCTTCTTCATTTCTTTCTCTGTTGTCAACATGCAACGTTATGACATTGGGTCCTATTGGTCCTATTTCTCCGCTTTCATCAACAATGCGCTGCGAATCTTCATAATTCATACCATAAGAGATTCTCCCCGCTCTTGATTGTTGCACAGACAGTTCCGGTGTACTCATCAACTCCACAATCAAAACACATCTACGGTTCTCATTATCAACATGCGATAGATATACCAACAGATCCTCATCATCACAAATATACGACTTTTCCTCACATCCAGCCAATCTAGCAATGTAACTCAATTGAAATTTAATCTTATTTTCATCTAACCCAAGCTTCTTGTATAACCTAGCTTCTATCATCGGTATTGTTATCTCCTCAACTGATGTCTTCAACACTAGACCATTGATGCAACCTTCACGTTTATAATGTATAGTGACGTAGTTGCTCATTTTAACCTGCCAATAAAGTCCAAAAAAAAATCATTCAGTACTGATTTTTTGTTCTCAGTTATATATTAGTTTTACTAGTTATACATCATTCCCCAGTATTTCTAGTATTACTAGTTATACTATTATCGCATGACCAAGATCCAGTTCTCAGATCGAGTCGGTTTAGAGATTTCAAAAACTTACAATTCACTACGATTCAGCCATTGTAATGCATTTGTAGCCAATATAGAGTCATATTCAACCCAGAAACATTCGTTAAACACTAATGTGCATGAAATCCAATTCAATCTATCATTTCTCCTAATTTCCGATTTCTAAACCCAAAAATTTCCCAAAAATTAACACCAATGATTCATTTTAACCAAACATACTTCAATTTCGGACCTCAATGAAGCTCCGGCGGTGCAACGGCGGCAAACGGAGGTCGACAGAGGTGGAGCCAATCATCGTCGACCATCTCTCGTCGGGAGGTCTCAGAGAGAGGAGAGACAAAGAATGGTCAATGGTCAACTTGAGATGGTCAACTCCAATCTCGGTCAATGGTCAATCATTAATGACAAAATAGTCAATCTACATTATAAAGAGTATTGTGGATCACACGAGAGTGATAGAGATCAATTCATTTCTCATAAGAGTATATGAAACGATGTCTTAAACGTTTTTATATTAATTATTAATAAAAACTATCAAAATATAAAACATCTCATTTGATGGTTGATATAATGTACTAAAAAGGTAAAAAGATAAAAAGGTACAAATACTCATTTCAATAAGGCTGCATATGATCACTTCTATTGATTCTAAAGTTTTGATGTCAGATAGCTTAATCAAAGCACAAAAAATAGCTGAATCGTGTCAAAATGGAAAGTTAATTTAGAAAACAATATTAGAGAAGAAATCTACCTTCAAAAAGGTATGAGAAACTTTTGAACTTATAATACAGTATTTGACGTAAAGATCCACTTCCTAATTATTGAGAGCATTTTATAGGATATAAAAATGAGTTGTGAATTCTCCATATTAAATGAATAGAATAATAGTAAAGTTTGGCATATAATTTCTCTTTGGAAGGCAAATAAAACTAATGCCTATAATTTTAAAAAATTTAAAATGTCCAAATATATCGAGCGCTCGGATGAAATGCTATTTTTTAGAAAAAATTAATCTCACATGTCATTTTATGATTTAATGCCACTCCTTTAAACGAAATGTAAAACAATAATTTAATACCCAATGAAAGTAACTGATTAAATTGGATAAATTAAAAAAAATTGATAGATTAGTAAAAGTAAAATGTTTAAATAAAAATCTGAAAAATAAAAAAAAACTAAAAATTAAAATCTTTTTCACCTTCTGCGCCTGTGAGCCGGAGTTCCTCCTCCTCTCCTCCTTTTCCTCTCTACCCATTGAGCTCTCTTCTGCTCCTCCTATTGACATCCTCTTTGAATATTTCTCCTATTCTGCAATTGCTTTCCTCTTCCTCTTCTACCATTGTTGAATATCCCATTGTTAAAGTGAATTATTTTTCTTTTGTAAAATTAGAGGGATCTGGGTTAGTAACTATGTATTCTGGATCGATTAAGCCTTAGGTTCGGTAATTTGTGAGAAGACCGTGGTTATGTGAATCAAATTCATATGTAGAATCCAATCTGTAATGGAAAGATAGGACAAATGGTACAACTGGTTGATGTAGGAGTTTACTCTATTTCAATTCCTACATATACTCATATCATTGTAGTATATAGGTATCAATCCAAATAGGCAATGTAATATACTAGGAATGCAATAGACTATTCAATTCAAGCAAGCATGATAAGATAAAGGAAACAATGATTCGAATAGCTAGAGAGACTTCAATTAAACTAAAGCAAGCAAAGCAAAACAAAGAGACTAATGCAAT